GGCAGATGGGAAGTGCAGGGTGACTTTGTTTGCAATAAGTCTGTTGATTAATCACTTGAAATTCTGGTCTTCACCAAGAAAACCCCAAACCAACAAGAAACTGAAGAAAAAAAAAAAGAGAGAGAGAGACTGAAGTCTAGCAGATCTTCGTTTCTAGATTCTGTTTGATGGGTGTCAGGAAGGTTCAACAGGTCTTGGGATTGGCTTTGAGGGCCTTCACTGCATTAAAATAAGATTTTTAACAGTTTAGTACAGTTTAGAAAGAGCACTTATTTTGTTGATATCCAATTTTTCTTACTAAATTATAGGGATTAACTTCAACAAATCATGCTGCTGTTATTTCTACATTTGTATTTTATCCATAGCACTTATTCACATTTAGGAAAAGACATAAAAAACTGAAGAACATGTGATAAGAAATCTCTGTGCAATAATGTTTGAAAAAAAAAAAAGATAAAGCTCTGCTCAGATGTCACGGAGACTGTTTTATCCACACAATGGTTTTTGTTTTGTATTTTTTCCCACATTTCAAAATTGTGATATAATGTTAAAAGCTGCTTTTATTATAATTTTTTTTGCTTTTTGCATATTATAGTATAATAGAAAGTGTGAGCAAAGTGATATGGGTGTGATTTCAGGTGTCTGGCGTGTGGAAAGTACTGCATGAGCAGGGTTTTTCTATTATAAAATTACCGTATCTTGCCATTCACAGCAGGTCCTGTGAATATGTTTTTACTGAGTGTTTTTAAATGAGGTATTTTAGACAATGTGCTGATAATGTATTGTGTGGGTGAATTCTTCCTTATGATTGTATCCCTTATTGTTTTGTTAAAGAAATGCAGATGTGTAACTGAGAAGTGATTTTTGTTTGTGTGTTGTCTTGGGTATGATTGGATTCTTTGGGGAGTAAACATAAACATTTGTCATGTACTAAACTTATATACATCAAAAGGGATTAATTCAGCTATACCAAAACATTTTAAGTTAATCATAGATCTGTGTCTATTTCTTGCTCTTTTCATTCTTGGTATAGCTGGCATGTGGAATCCAGTAGCTACCCTACAACTTAACTTTTTCACCAACAGCCCACACTGAAAGCTTAAATGAACATTAGTCCTCCTGTTTTTAGACAGCTGAGATGAAATTGAACAATCTTATGGTTCTTTCCACATTTTTTTTAGTGTGCTTTGAAGTATCAAAGCTTGGTTTAAACAGTTTATTTACACAAATGTATTGTTTAAATCATTTAAACATTTTTCTAAATGTATTCTTTTGTAAAAAAACAAAAATTCTTCAAAGTAACATTGGAATAAAAAAAACAATTAAGCCATACATATTTTCTTAGATGTATAGGTGTATATATAACTATATAGATAAACACAAAATATTCCTTATTTCAAATTAGTATGGTTCCTATTTAAAGTGATTTATATTTGAGTAAAAAGTTCAATTCTTTTTTGCTTTTTAAAAGAACTGATGCATCATATTTTTCATTATATTATTCCACATATTTTTTCCTTGAAGTTCTTAGTGTAATGTATCCATTATTTAGTATATATCTAGCAACAACACTTATATAAGTTTATCAATGTCTAAAAAAAAACGATTCCTGTGTACTGGTTTACATTTGTATGAATGGCATATTCTGAAGTCTGCTGTGCTTGTATCATGACTTACAGTATTTTCTCTATTTTATAGTAATGCCATGTTGTTATTTACAGCGCTCTGACATACTTTCATGTGGTAGGTTCTTTCTCAGGAACTCAATTTAACTATTATTTATTGATATATCATTTGCCTTTGAAAAGCTTCTACTGGCACAATTTATTATTAAAATTTTGAGTCCAAAAAAAAAAAAAAAAAAAGAAACACAAATGGTCAGGAAAAATATGAAAAAAAATGTTCAACATCTCTAGCAATTAGGGAAATGCAAATCAAAACTACACTAGGATTTCATCTTACTCCAGTCAGAATGGCAATTATCAAGAATACCAATAATAATAAATGTTGGTGAGGATGTGGGGAAAGAGGTACACTCATACATTGTTGGTGGGACAGCAAATTAGTAAATTACTCTAGAAAGCAGTGTGGAGAGTCCTCAAAAAACTAGAAATAGGACCACCATATGACCTACTCCTTGATATATATTCAAAAGATCTAAAATCAGCATACTATAATGATATAGCCACTTCAGTGTTTATAGCAGCACAACTCACAATAACCAAATTATTAAATCAACCCAGATGCCCATCAAAAGATGAATAGAGGGCTGGGGATGTGGCTCAAGCGGTAGTGCGCTCGCCTGGCATGCGTTTGGCCCGGGTTCGATCCTCAGCACCACATACAAACAAAGATGTTGTGTCTGCCAAGAACTAAAAAATAAATATTAAAAAATTCTCTCTGTCTCTGTCTCTCTCTCTCTCTCTCTCTCTCTCTCTCTTTAAAAAAAAATGTGATGTATGTACTCAATGGAGTTTTACTCAGCCATATAAAAGAATGAAATAATGGCACTTGCTAGTAAATGGATGGAAATGGAGAAGATCACACTAAGTGAAATAAGCCAGATGAAGAAAATCAAGGATTGAACATTTTCTCTCATATGTGGAAGATGGAGAAAATAAGGGAAAGGAGGCAGTTGGGGAGGGGATCAGATACCATAAAAATTCAGGGAAGATCACGAGAATAAGAGGAGATGAAGAAGGAGGGAGGAGGGATGGGAAGGGGGACGAAATATGGAATGAATTTAACAAAATCATGTTATATTCATATATAAAGGTACAAGAGGGAACTTCACCTTTACAAATGTTTGAAAGAAAGGTTGTTTAGTAAAGTAGGGAGAATAGGGATGGGGGAAGGAGGGGGACAGTGGGGATCCAAATCAAAGTCCTTGAATGTATGATTTTGTCAAAATGAACCCAAATACTATGTATAATTATAATGCTCTAATAAAAAAAACTATTAGAGCTAATTAATAAGTTTAGATCAATACATAAATATTGGTTATATTTCTATAGCAATGAGCAATCTCAAGATGAAATCAGAAAAAATTCTATACATAATAACATCAAAAAGAGTAAAATACTTAGAATAAAAGTTAACAAAAGGAATGTAAGGCTTGTCACCAAAAATCTACAAAACATTTTTTAAATTAATGAAAGAAGACAGCCCATATTCACAGATTGTAAGACCTAACACTGTTAAGATGATAGTATTCCCCAAATTGACCTACAGATTCAATACAATCTCCATCAAAATTTTTCCTGCACTAATTTACAATATATCCTAAAATTCATGTGGAAATGTAACAGGTCCACAAGAGCCAAAATAATCTTGAAAAAAAACAAAGTTGGAGGGGCTTACACTTTCCAAATTCAAAACTTACTATAGAGCTACATGTTAGTGAGCTTTTTGTCACTATGACCAAAATAGCTGACAAGAACAGCTTAAAAGAGAAAAGGGTTATTTTGAGCTCATGTTTCAGAGGTTCAGTAGATAACAGGATGACTTCACAGCCCTAGGACCGAGATGAGGCAGAATATCATGGAGAAGGCTGTGGCAGAGGAAAGCTGCTTAGCTCATGGCAGCCAGGAGGCAGAGAAAGAGGAAGGGGCCAGGGATAGGTACAGACCAGGACAATCCCCAGTGACCTACTTCCTCCAGCTACACCCTCTCTGCCTACAGCTACCACCCCAGCTATCCATTCAAATTATTAATCTATCAGGTGGATTAGGCCACCAATAAGGTGACAGCTTCCTCGTTTCAGCCCTCTGAACATTCCTGCATTGCATAGCACATGAGTTTGGGGGCAGACATTAAAGATCCAAACCACAACATTACAGTAATACACTGCGGTACTGGCATAAGGATAGGCATATAGACCAAGAGAACAGAACTGAGAGTCCAGAAATAAACTGAGAGTCCAGAAATAAACAATTACATTGATGTTTAATTGATTAAACAAGAATAACAGGACAATTCATTAGGGAAAGAATAGTCTTTTCAACAAACGGTGCTGGCACAACTAGAAATTCACATACAAAAGAATTTTGCCCAGCCAGGTGTGGTGGTACACGCCTATAATCCAGTGGCTCAGGAGGCTGAAGCAGGAGGATTGCGAGTTCAAAGCCAGCCTCAGCAAAAGCAAGGTGCTAAACAACTCAGTGAGACCCTGTCTCTAAATAAAATACAAAATAGGGCTGGCTCAGTGGTGGAGTGCCCCTGAGTTCAATTCCCAGTACCCACCCCCAAAGAAAAGAATTTTTCCCCTGTCCTCACAAACATATATTTGGATGAGAGACCAAATATATTTTGAGACAGCATCAAAACTCACTCAGTTGCTCAGCCTGGCTTCAAACTTGTAATCCTTCTGCCTCAGCCTCCCCAGGAACTGGGATTACAAGTGTGTGCCTGAAACATTTTGATGAGAGGCCAAAATGGATCAGAGACCTAAATTTAAGAGTTTAAAATATAAAACTATGCTGGGCACAGTGGCACACACCTATAATCCCAGTGACTCAGGAGACTGAAGCAAGAGGATTGCAAGTTAAAGGCCAGGCTCAGCAATTTAACAAGAACTTGTTTAAAATAAAAAATAAAAGAGACTGGGGATGTGGTTCAGTGGTAATCACCCCTGAGCTCAACCCCTAGTACAAAAAACAACAACAACAAACTCTTAGAATAAACAATAGGAGAAAATCTTCATAGCATTGATTAAGCAATGTTTATTAGATACAAAATCAAAAGCATGAAAACAACAGAAGAAAAAATAGATAACCTGGACTTAATCAAAACTAAGAAATTTTTGCATTTCAAAGGTTAACATTAAGAAAGTGAAAAGAGGGGCGGGAGTTGTGGCTCAGCGGTAGAGCACTTGCATAGCACATGGGAGGCCCTGGGTTCGATCCTCAGCACCACGTAAAATAAATAAATAAAATAAAGTTATATCCAACGACAACTAAAAAAAAAAAAAGAAAGAAAGTGAAAAGACAACCAGACTCAGATAAAATATTTACAACCATGTATCTGTGCAAAACTGGAACACACAAAGAACTATTACAACTCAAAGAGTAAAAAGACAAATATTCCAATTTTAAAACAGGCAAAGGGTTTGAATAGATATCTCTCCAAACAAGATATACAAAAAGCAATAAGCACATGAAAAACTGCCCAATATCACTCGTCATTAGGCAACTGCGAATAAGTGAGGCTGGCTTCACCCGCTGTAGGACAGCTATCATCAAGGGACAAACACTGGCAACGCTGATGAGGATGCAGGGAACCTCTGTGCTGGTGAGGCTGCCTTGGAAAACAGCCATGACCAGCTCCTCGGAGCTGCCCGGTGACCTGGTGGCCAAGGAAAATGAGAATGTCTACCCAAAATCTCTATGCAGTGTTTATAGCAGCATTATTCAGAATCGCCAAAAAGTGGAACCGACCCAGGGTTCACCAACTGAACGCAAGATTAACAATGTGCAAATGGATCTTCACAGACAGCACAGCGCTCAGCGTCACCAGGACTGACACCTGCTCTCACGTGCAGGAACCTTACAAGAGTAGACAAAGGGAAAGAGGACAGATGTAAAAATTCTAATAGAATATGATTTGTTTGCATAAAATGCCTAGGATAAACAAATATACAGATAAATAATTAGCGGTTGACTAGGGCTGCAGGTTGGGGATGGGTTTGGAAAATAGGAAGTGACTGCTGATGAATACAGGTTTCTTTTTAGGCCTGGGTGATAGAATTTTTCAGAAATTGATGGTGGTGGTTATATAACATGGTAACTAAGTAAATTATATACCAATAAGTGTTATTTTAAAAAGCTGGAAACATTGCCAGGTGCTGTGGCACACACCTCTAAGCTACTAGGGAGGTTAAGGCAGGAGGATCATAAGTTTGGGACTAGCCTCTGCAATTTAGTGAGACCCTGTCTCAAAATAAAAATAAAAAGGGCTGGGGATGTAGCTCAGTAGCAGGGAATTCCTGGGTTCTATCCCCAGTGCCAAAAAATAAATAATCAAATAAAAGCTATAAACAGGATTCCGAGAAGATGGTGGGAAGTCCCAGGAGTATCTTCCTGCTTAGGCAACAATGACACAGGCACAGTCTGTCCCATGTAACATTTTTGGAACCTGGAGTCTGTTAAAAGCTGGCAATGTCCAGAGGAAGGCTTGATGGTAACTTAGAGTCATGGTCAGCTCTTAGCGTAGCAGCAGCCATGCGAGTGTTCCCAGAGCCACCAACGTGTGGCCTACAGAAGCCAGGCAGCTAAGCATTCCCTCCAGTGACTGAAAAATTCCCCAATGTGATGAAAGAGATGAACACAAACATCCAAGAAGCTCAACAAACTCCAAGTTAAGATGCACTGAAGAGACCTACATTATAACCTACTTAGCAAAGACAGAGGATGCTCAAAAAGCAAGAGAGAAGCGACTCACATAGAAGGAATCCTCGGTGGGTGATCAGGAGATTGCTCATCAGAAACATCCATGGCCCAAAATGCAGCGAGTGGGCCGATATATTCAGAGTACTGGAAGAAACACTCTGTTGGCCAAGAACCTGTGTCTGGCAAAGCTGTCCTTCCCGAGAGAGGAGCACCTGAGAGACTCCTAGGTAAACAAGGGCTAGGGGAGCACACTGCTAGAAACGCTCAAGGAAGTCCTGCAGGTGGAACAAAGTGACACCAGACGGTCGCTGATCTCAACAAAGGTGGATGCCCTCTCCAGTGAAAGGACAGGGACTGGCAGAGGAGTGTGAAAAACACGGTCCAACTACCTGCTGTCTGTGAGAGACCATTCAGTAAATCAAAGTGAAAGGACGAAAAAAGATATTTCACATAAATAGTGACCAAAAGAGAAAGGGGTAGCTACACTAATATCTGAGAAAATACACTTTAAATCAAAAAAGAGTGCAACAGACTAAGGATTTTCTATATTAATAAAAGGTTTAGCAAGATGTGACAGGTGAAAACATTTACATACCTGATAACAGACCATCAAAATATGTGAACCAAATCCAGACAGAATTTAAGGGAGAAGTCGAGAATTCTGTAACAATTGTTCCACACTTAGTCAGGAATGGACAGACAGAAGGTAAGAAAACAGAACCTGCCACGTCAGCCGGCCAGACCCAGTGGACATGCTCAGGCACCCTGCCTGCCAACAGCAGCATGCACCTTCTTCTGAGGTGCCCACGGGAGCTTTTCCAGGATGGACCACATACTAGGCCACAAACTAAGTCAACACGTGGTGTATACTCACAGAATGGAACATCATTCACCTTCTAGAAGGAAGGATTCTGACACCAGCTCAACACAGGCAGACCATGAGGACATTATACTAAGTGAAGTACGCTGGTCACAAAAAGGAAACACTCATGAGACAACAGCTTGGACTCTCCCCAGGCAACTGGCTTAAAATCAACCATAAGGCACGCCACTGTGCAGAAGTCAAAATCTACATTTTTGAAAGTATTTAATGATATGGAAAAATAATTGTACACTCATGTAGTAAAAAAAATATAAAAGAGTACATGGGGCATAATCCCAATTAAATATAAAATTATATATATATACTACATATTTTTAAATATACACTCAACAGTGGTTAACTACTCAAAGTGGCAGTATGGTAACTGACAATATAGAAATGATTTTAAATAACTATCAATATATAAGTATATTTAATAGAAATATATGTGAGTATTTTTTGTGACTATTTCATTTTTAATATAAATTTTTATATTTGTTTATTTTCCAAATACCCTATACTGAGCACACAACTAAAAAATAAATGTTCATTTTTAAATGAAAAGGATTCTGTTGCGTGTTGGCCAGAGCGAGAGGAGCTGGACCCTCACTGCAGGAAGGAAGCACACAGGTCAGGCCATCCCACAGGGCAGACTCCACTTCTGGCAGCTCTCCTGTGGAAATCACATGGAAACGCACAGAGACCAGGCTACACCTCCTCCCAGCTTCATGTGTGGCCGTGAAAAGCTCTGTGCAGCACAGAGGCTGCTTAGCTAAGTAAGTTTTACCTCGTGCACACAATGAGAAGCTCCACAGTTCCCCAAACTGCAGAGATGTATCCATGGAAAGTGTTTATGATCCCTGGTGAAGTGGAAAAGCAGGTCACAAAGCAGAGTACATTGTAAAATCAATCCCCTTCTGATTAAAAAAAAAAAAAATTCACACTTCTGAGAAGTGTAGGGACCTCTGGGAGGAGAGGCAGGAAGGTTCTAAGAGCCCACCTCGGGGGAGATGGGGAATAGGTCTTTTTATGTTCTCTGTCTTGTCTGAGCGTCTGGATTTTATAACACACATGTGTTTGGTCTACATTCAGAACAATTAAATATCACATGGGAGAAAGGACAAGAGACCAGTCCCAGGGACAACTGGAAGCACCACTGGCTACCCAAGCAAAAGAGCATGACAGGCGGGGCCTTCAGACAGGGGGATGCGGGGTGTGGGGATGCGGGGACTGTGGGGGGGTAAGGCTGTAGCCTCCTGCTGCTCCCAACCTCGGCTGTAGTGGGGTCACACTCTACAAAGCCCCTTTCATTGGCCTCCATTTACGTATTTCAACTCACCTTCCTGTTTCATCTTGGTCTTCTTAATACTCTTGTAAGGTATTGTTAGAGCCCCGTCTTGTAAATTTAAAACATGAGACTTAGAGTGAGAACCTAGATTAAGGTACCCAGAAATCACAGAATAAAATCAGAGCGGAACAGCAGGTTACCTGACACCAGAGTCTCATCTCCCAGGGAGCAGAGCAGCCCCACCAGCCCTGGCCAGGTGGGCTGAGGCGTGTTTGGTCGCTTTATCACAGCAGAGCTACTTAGAAAGGCCAGCTCCAGAGGCCACGCCATTTCCAGCTCTCAGTCTCCTGACTGCACAGTTACCTCACGTCCCAGCACAAACAGTGGCCCTCTTTCTTTCTACTGCTCCCAGCCTCCTGTCTTGGGGGAACAACATCTGTGGTCACTTGGTATCCCAGAGATTCCCTGAGCCTTATCCCAGAGTCAGCCCTCCACTTGCCAGGCTAACCCAACCTGCCAGACCCCGAGGAGCTTCTCACTCTTCCGCCTGTCCTCATTTCTCTACTCAGGTCTAAGAGATGGTGCGAGGGAGAGAAGGGGAGCAGGTGGCCTCAGCTCCGGGAGAGTGGGCACATGGATCTGTGCATGTGCGCCCCACGGCTGTGAGGGGACGACTGAGTGGCCCATAGGTGCTCAGCATCTCACACACAGGTACAGGAAGCGCGTCCAACCGTGACCAACCAGGAGCCATGGCTCCCAGATCGCCCCACCCACAAGACAGGCATCTGGGCAGAAATCCAAGCAGAGGAACCTGTAAAATGCCATCAGTAACTAAGCACCAACTATGTGACAGACACTGTGTTGGGTCCCAAGGACAGCAAACGAGTGAGAGGAAAGTCTTCCTTTACAGGAGCTCAGAGACAGGCAGGCGCATCTGGTGATGCTACAACCAATTCTCTACGTTTCTCAAACGATCCTAATCCACTATGTCAAGTTGGCACCAGATATGGGCATCTGTGAATGGGTGAGTCCCAGGTGGCTTCAGAGAGGACAGGACACAGAACTCAAAAAAAAAACAGAACTTACAGGAAGAAAATCAGGCAAGAGTGTGGAATGGAGGTGAAGGCATCAGGGGGTGGGCTGAGAACGGGGAGCAGGTACAAATCCAGGGCATTCTCCGGAGACCTGGATGCATTTTGCCTGAGGAAGCTGTGCATGGCTGAGGGAGACCAGCCCACATGCCAACAGGACAGAGTGACTGAGATCTGGGCTCACTGCTGAGCACGCTCCATTCAGCTCGAGTCCTCCCTGCCACTCACAGAGTGGCACAGGCTCTCAACTAGTTTCCCAGGACAAGTTCTGGTTTGACCTCTTCTTGCTCTAGACCTCTGCCAAGGTTCTCTAACTTCCCTCTAACTTGCCTCAGTTTCCTTGTCTGCAAAACAGAAAGCATAATGGTGTTCACACTGTAGGGCAGCTGTGAGGCCTGAATGGGAAACCCAAAGAGGACGCAGTGCAGGGCACAGGAATCTCAGTGCACTCGGTCACTGAGGTCACTGGTAACTTCACCAGGTCTCCTTCTTTCATCTGTAAGCTTGGAGTTTGGAGAAGTAAAAAACAGTAAAGTCCCACCTGGTGCTGGCCCACAGAAGGCCTCAGTAACTGAAGGATACTGGCTTCTGACTCCCAGCAAGCAATGGCCAACTCTCTTCCACTCAGAAGAGCAGGTGTGTGGGAGCCATGGCATTTCCAGGCTGTCACGAGCCATCCATGAGCTGTGTGTGGACTGTTGCGCATAGTAGCCAAGTGAGGGGATAGGTCTGGCATTGCCAACTCCCTGTAGCACCCCCTCGGGGATTGATCACTTGATGCAGGTAAACCTTCCCTTCAAGCTCTGCCTAAGATCCCACACAGCACCTGAGATGGGAGTGACCTGCAAAGATACCAATCAATCTGCTGACCACAGGACACCATGAAGCAAGACCTCGCCCTTGAATCCCTATCCCTGTTATAAAATAAATCAAACGCAGGCTCATGCTCCAGCCTACAAGCTTGACCCTGAAAGTCAAAGAGCTGTCCTGCCCTGCTTTCTGGATACTGCTTTCTGTGCCATGTGATTTTTCACAACCACCTTCTTAGCTTAATGTTGCAGCCAGCCTGTTTAAACCCAGTTTGTCCCATCTGCGCGGGTCATGGTCGAGACCAGGCTCTGGCTAAAACCTTGGTCATGGTCATGTTTCATGTCAGCCTTTGGATCATCATGAAAAGGTCCAGGTGGACCTAGAAAGCATGCAGGTCAGTCCTGCTGCTTGGAGCAGTGCACAGGCAGCATGGAGAGGGGCGGAGCTGGGGACATCCCACTCAAGGGGCAGCTGCCCCACAGCCCCAATGTGGTCTGGCCTTGGGGGTGGACGGGATAGCTCTCCCTTCTTTCCAAAGAAACTAGAAAAACAAATATTTAAGCAGAATGAAGGGGCTCGATGTTGAAATGCTAATTTACAAGTGTGGGGAACCTGAGCTAATAATGAACAGCCCGCCTGGGCAGCCACCGGCCATGGCACTCCTTCTGCTTTAAGGTGCTTTGTACATCAGCAGTCATGGGCTCTCCTGCCAACTGTCTCTCCTTGAAAATTCTCTGGAACCTTGGAGAAGAAACAGCTGAGACTGAAGGTCTCTTAAGCCCTCAGAGAGTTCACCTGTCTTTGGGCATCTCCATCAACTGGGCTGGCAAGTCCCGGGTTGTTATGAGTCACTCCTATGCCTCCCTCCCACCCACTCCACAACACACTCATCTATTAAGCTACCGTCTCATCGTGCCCGCTGTGTGCCAGGTGCCTTTCAGCACTGCATGCGTACTCTCTCACACGGTCCTGATGACCTGCTGAGACCCCTGGAGAGACTGAGGAACAAAAGAATTTGCACAAGGACACCGGACCAAGGTGTGCCCGAGGTGGGAGCTGGACCCAGGCTGGCAGTTCATCTGGTCTCCCTCCACTCTACACTGCTCTAGCTGCCAACCAGGCTCTCAGGGGCCCGGAGTCTCCAAGGCTGCTGGCCACTTTCTCTACACGAGTGACCATCCCTCTTCCTGCATACATGTGACTCTACTCACATCTCCAGAGCTCAGAAACTAGCCAGACCTGGACCCCTCTTGAGCCAGCCAGTGTTCCAAGAGCCATCTGTCATACTCATAGCTGAAGGGCCACTGTTAACCAATGTCACCAGGGCAGACTTGGGGACCAAGTCTCCTTTCCCACCTTGCATGGCAGCCAAAAGACTGAGCTGGCACTGTCACCAGCAGACAGCCTGCCTCCACCCTGCTATGTCTGGGCCAATGTGAAGACCTAAGCTCAGGCCCCCAAGCCACCTCCATCCTCCACCAATGACCCAGCTGCTGACCACAAGCCACTGGGGCCCAGGTCAATTGGGTGACTGGAAAGTGACAGGTGAAGCTTTGCCCTCATTCCAGAATATCGTTCCTGGCCCCAAACAGCACATGTATGTGTGCAACACACACACAACAGCTCCCAGCAGCCCAGGGAATGTGGGAAGCTGAGTGAGCACAAGAGAGAGAAGAGGGCCGCTGGGCGCAGAGCCCAGCACAGCACACAACGCGGCACATGCCAACAGAAGCGCAGGCTCCCAGGCTCCCGAGACCACCTCGAGGCTCATGCCCACTAAGCTGCCCAAGAGCCACATCAAGAGCAACGGCATCTTTTCCTGGTCCACAGGGACATTTAGAATTAATTAAATGAACCTGGCAGACCTCTCAGCTCCCCAGGGAACTGGGTGAATATATCAATCCTGTCACAAAGCCAACACTGCACAGGACACCTGAGTCCCACAGGCTGGACCCCTGGAGCCCCAACATCTTGGGCAGAATGTGCTGGCAATACTCAAGTGGCCAGCTCTCTGCTGTTCTAGAGGGTTGGGCCCAGGGCCCAGGCCCCTGTGTAAGCCACAGTCAGTCACAATGCACAGTCAGGAGTATAGGAGCAGGAGGCAGAGGGGGTCCTTCAGAGAGTGACTGCTTAGTATTGGGAAGTCCAGATCCAAGTGTCCCTGCTGAAGGCCATCTACAAGGTATCACCCACCCCTGGCTATATCTAAAGATATTCACTGAGCACTGAGCATGTGCCGGGCACCATAAAGAGCTTTACGCACAGTATTTTACTTCATCCTGACACTAATTCTATGAAGTGAATGTGACTGCACCATTACAGAGACAGAATCGGCAGCTTAGCAACAATAATACCTGTGTCCTGCCTTTTCTTTCTGTGAGGTTGCATCCTACCATGCTAGACTACAAGCTCCCTCTGACCCTTCAGTAGGGACCCTGTTAATCATCAAAGGAACTGCTGTGGATTGACCTTAACTAGCCCAGGGGTGACATTAATGAATAAAAAACATGGTAGAGCATGTGGGAAGTTGACCACATGACATACACTGTCCAGTTACTCAATTACCAAGAAAAGTCCCTAGTGAAGTTGCACATTAATAACCAAGAAACTCTACTGAAATGCTTCTCCTTCGTTCCCCTGAGCAATAATCAAAGAACTCAAGCTCTGAGGAAACAGAGTGTTGCTGAGCTTAAAACCATCCCAAGTGCTCAGTGGGGCATCACAGGGGCCTAGCTGGGATTCTCACAGGGGACTCCTAGGAGGCTCTGCTACCCCCAGCGAACATGACACGGAGGGAAAAAGACCCAGGTCTCACCTTTGGTGGCGTAGGATTCTGCAATCATCCGCAGCCTGTACGGAGGGACAGCTGTCAGGGGCAGGTCATCAAGGCCCGCCCGGGCGTAAATGTTCAGAGCTTCTTTATAATCTCCTTCCACATAATTCAGCTTGGCCATGATCAGATTGGACTCTTGTAGGAATTCTGACTAGAAGGAAAAGGAGAGAAAGGCATTTTCCTACAGTATTTTGTGGGATGCTCCCTCAGGGCCCAGCCGACTACTGCCATAAAGCCCCCCGCCCCCACATGAAAACCGGCCCATCAATGTTCACAGCGTATTACCCACAACAGCCCAAAGCACAAACAACCCAAGTATCCATAAAAATGTGGTCTAGCCATAAAATAGAATATTGGTCATAATCAAAAATTAAGTACCACAATACAGAGGAAACCCCCCAGCATTATTCCAAGTCAAAGATCAGCACAAAAGGCCACATATTGTATGCCTCCATTATAGGAAACATCTAGAAGAGGCAAATCTGTAGTCAGAAGTAAGTCGGTGTGCCAAGGGCTGGGGTCTGGGAAGTAGGAATGTCGACCGATGGCTGCATGCATGGTTCCTTTGGGGCATGCTGAAATGTTCCAGGGTATCATGGTGACAGTCTGCATAACTTCAGGAAGATGCTAAAAACCACTGCACTGTACACTTTAAGTGGGTGAACTCAACAGCATGGGAATCATACCTCAAGGTCGTTGTGAAAACAAATAACCCAGACCCCTGCGGCTCCCCTTGGGCCCTGGGCTGCGCTGGGCCCCAGATGGAAGGAACACTTCCCTAGTAAGCACTACAACGATGTGACCACCTTCTCCAAATAAGAGAGGCCACTGCCTGGTGTCCTGGGGTCCTGTCCCTGGCACTGGACACGCACAGACCAAAGCCCAAATCACCCACACGGGGCTTGCCAAGTGGCTATGAGGTCAGGACTTACTTTCCCATCAGGGGCAATGTTTCCCACTGAATGATCAAGCCTGTGAAGCTGTTGCTGACCAGAGTCCTCCTTCCTGCGGCTGAGGGCTGTGGCAGGTCTGAGGGGTCACCTTCCTTCCTGTCCCCTCTCGACCCCAAGTGCCACCTCCTCTGCCTTGCCCTCCCCAGCCTCAATGGCTGGAGACAAGAGGTGACCCAGCCATCTAGACTAGGAAACACAGCCATCACCTCTCCTGGGCCTTCTCCTCACAGCTAAGTTGTCACGCTTGGTGGCTCTGCTCAGAGAGGCACACCTGCACTCCTCTGTCACCTGCGGCTCTGACAGGTGGGTGACAAAACACAGGAGAGCAGGCAGAGCATGGAGAAGCAGCCCTGTCTGCCAAAGGGGTCGACACTTCTTTGAAGGGAGTAGGGACACCAGACAGTGTAACGGGCCTTAGTAAGGCCACTGTGCTGAGAGCAGCGACTCTTTACTGAGGCCTGCAAGGCCCTGTGGGGGAGTAAAAGCAGGGTCAGTCCCAGCACCCCTGCTTCCTCTTCTGTCTGCCTCCTTGACTACCTTCAACTCCGGGTGAGGGGCCTCACTCCTACGTGGAGGCCTGTGATCACCAAGGAGCCTTCCTCTCAACCCAGTAACACACAGGCTTAGCCTATCTCATCCTCCTGGGAGACTGAGGCAAGAGCGGCAGCCTCCGGTTCTGTCCCCCCTGAATGGTGCCTCCAAGTCCCCAGACATCACCCCTCCCAGAATCACAGGTCTGACAGGCGAACACACTGAAAGCAGGTGGAAGTTGCCCCCGCCAGTCAGAAGGACTGCCGCAGAGCCACCTGGCAGAGCCTCCTGGCAGACCCGGGCCTGAGAGCACGGCCCAGCAGACCACAGTCTGATCAACGCTGCTCAGTTAGGCACCCTCCTACCCTCCGCCCTGATTCCTCCTCCTTTAAATCCAAAGCTCCTGTCAGTGCCCCAAAGACAGGGCCAGGACACCAAGTGTCATCTGCCTTCCCAATGTGGCCACGTGATTCGTTTCCTCTTCCGCTCTCGCCATGACCTTTTCCACTGGGTTTTTGGGCCGAGTGGCCAGAACTGGAGTTAGGCCTCAGGCCTAGGACGCCAGTAACAGCAGCACGGGGCTTGGGAGGACAGCAGAGGGCCAAGGCCGCTGAGAGGGTGTCGGAGGGGCCCAGGGAGAGGGTCCCGTGCAGGAAGTCAGAGCGCCACCTGGAGACAGACTTGAGAAGGTGAAAGAGCTTTGAAAAAAGCACCCACCGCAGGGCAAAGCAGCTCCAGGGCTGGGTACTTCAGAGAGTTTCCTAGGAGACTCTGGAGTCCCCCTCCTTCCCCAGCTCTCCACACCTGAGCCCTGGCTTTAGCCAATTGAAGGGAGAATAGGAGCTGGTGCCAAATGAGGTCAGAGGTTCATCCAGAAAGGTGACAGAGTCCTGGGGGTGAGTGGTCGTGATGATGCACATAACACCCCTGAGCTGTGCACTAACGGTGGTTCAAACGGTCCATTTTACATTAAGTATATTTTGCTACAAGAAAAGTAAGTCTAAAAAAAGGAAACTGAAGGGCCCGATAGAAAATCTGCTTGGAGAAACTCATAGTCCGGAGGCACAGGATGGACACCCCAGGAGGGCCTTGCCAGGAGAGCTTGCCCGCACCAGTGACAGCAAGAAAGTAACTCGGTCCAGGCCACCCAGCTCCAGAGTGGAGGCAGAGCCCCAGCGCGGGGCCAGGTGCTTGCCTTGTGTGTAACAAGCACAATCTTCTTGCCCTAAACCAGAGGCAACCTCCTCATCCAAGGCTCCATCAGCGCTCACTGCAGGCTGACTGCTCCTCCCAGCCTCGGTCACTTGAGACACACTGGACTTTAGAAGTTCCACATTAGCCAGTGTGAGTGTGGCAACACACCTGTGCAGAAGCTGCTCGACTCTAGAACATGCTTTATAAGGTGAAGGAAGCTAAAAACAGCAACAAGAGGGAAACCCTTTGGTAGAAGCAATAAAACAACAGTAAAGGGCAGGTGTCCAGTGGGGTAGAGCTTTGAAAGCACTTCCATATTTCAACCTTAAAACAATCCT